ATAATATAATTTTCTTTTTTATTTTATTTTTAGTTATAGATTTTATATAGAGTTAATTTATATAATATATATAGCATAGTTTAATGTGTTTTAACATTGCGAATTGTTAAAGGAGTTGACGTCTCGGGTTAGAGAACGAAAATCAAATAATCTTTATGAATGCGAATGTGGTTCCCAATTCCCAATTTGACTTGATGTATGGAAAAACAAAAAATTTTATAACAAGAGTTTTTGTTTTGTATATATATAATTTGTTTTGCTAGCATATTTAGCTAGCTTTGCAAGGAAATCTCTCAAGCACCATGTTTTCGTGTTATATAGAACTTTGATCATACTTTCTTCTCTCACACCATCTCTCGCCAGGCTTTGTCTTTGTCTTTGTTTGTTTAAATGCATCTATATCATTTGTCGAAACGTTCCGTTAGTTCTGGTTCAAATCACTTTTAAGTTAAATCTTTTTCACTCTGCTTTCAAGAATTTTTTTTCGGTATTTCTTTAACACCTAATTTGGCAATTTGTTTTCAATATATTTTTATATTGTTTTTTTGTTTGCTCCTTTATTATTGTTTGGTTTTTTTTTTTGTTTTGGTTGAAACAAATTCGTTTTGCTGAAACGCATTTTGTCAATATTTCATTTACGTACTTTTCACTTTTTGTTTTTTAAAGTTAAGTTTAAGCTAAGAATTTTTGTTGTAGAGATTTTTCATGGACTTTTTTTTTTCAATTTTTCGAATGGCGTGCATAGATATTTTTAGCTGGTTCTTTGTGTTAGGTTTTTCTCTTTTAAAATGTGTTTTGTTTATTATTTTTAGAATGTTTTTATATTTATTAAATTTGTGTTTAGTTATGGGTTTTTAGTTTGCTTTTTAGCTTTAAATTTTTCTTAAACATTTATTCGTTGTATTCGAAAAATTCTCTGTATTTGTTGTTTAGCTCTTCTTGTTTAGTTTTTATAGATTTCGTTCTCTGCGCTATTGCACATTCGATTTCTTTGCTGCTCGTCAGGTTAGTTTCAGATAAAGTCATAAACATAGTTAGGAATTGGATAAGTTTCTTCAACACATGACAATGATTAGATGATGTTTGTGAATTGAATAATTAAAGTATTGAATAAAACATTTATATTTAAGTGTATACATATAAATAATACTACAT